ATAAATGTACACGTGCAGATTCATCATCATCCTCTCAGAGCGGCTGCATTCAGCTGAGGCTGCCAGAGGCCCCTTGATGATTTGTGGCTCTCTCAACTTTTAGAGTCCGTCCCAGTGTGGTAGAGGAATGCCAAGCTGTTCTGAGGCCAGCGGGAAGAAACACAGATCAATTCCTAATTGACTAACACCGGACTTTGTGTGATAAAACATCAGGAAGCGGACTGTGTAGGAGACGCTGTTACCAAACGGAGCTGAAATGTTCACTTTGCAACAATGCAAAGACGAGTATTTCCAATCGCTTTCATTCATTTGATAGTTTTCTGGGTTCAAAAATATATTTTAGCATTTCTTGTCGTTTCCCCTCATTTACATTTTCCTTCTAACCCTTAATTGCATGGGCGTCAACGGTCAGCATGGGAGGTACAGCGTGAGACGCAGTACGGCTGCAATCACTTATGTTATTAAGTTTGGATTTCATCGCAGAAAAAAAGGTTTGCGCCAGAGGCTTCCAATAAATGCCTTTTCTTTAACACACATTTCCCCCCCAATACACAGCACACAAACACAGGAGCCTCACACAGGAGGCCGCTGCTCCCGTTCGGTTTTAAAACCGGTGACTTTGCACCAGTTATGTACAGTAGTATGTAGTATGATGTAAGTATTCCTCATTTCGATGGAACTGGTCTGATGTCGCGACAGTGGCAGGACTCAGTGCCTCCTCTCCTCCCTGAGAGCCCCGACCACAGACTGCGCCAAACGCAGGCAACTCATGTTGCCTGCGTTTGAAGTCAAAGTGGGGTCACAGGACCGGTGGCATAAATCATTGGAGCGAGATGATGTTGGAGACCGCTGGGGAAGGGGCAACCTGCGGCTGCCGGGGCAGGAGTGTGGAGACGCGATGAAACCCAATCTGCAAAGCTTTCACGAGGGCTTGTTTTCCCAGCGCCGCGCTGGGCCGCTGATCAGCTGTGGTGTCCGAACAGAACAGCGCTTTAAGGAGCTCCCGCTGGTTCCCGTGTTGTTGCTATGGCTTGACTTTGAACCCCCCCTTTTCTTTTCTTTGCCCCCTGCTCCCGGGGGAGGGGGGTATGTAGACTCCCGGACAGCCTGCTGTGTCTGCGTCCAGGATTTACTCCTGGACCCTCACCTGAAGGGGTCTCTGCTTTGACCGTCACACTGGAGTCGTCTGGTTTCTAATCAAATAAACCTGCTCCGTTTTGCAAATGAAATGAAATAACGTCCCTATTGGGCTTATGTCTAGATTTAGGTCACCTTAAGTTGCACAAACTCAATGCCTGACCGAAATCTCCTGGGTTACCTTCTACATACATGACCAGCAGTTAGCTGTTAGCACCAGGCCTTCTTCAAACGAGGACTGAAAGACCACCGTGTCCCCCACACTTGATCACTGCGCCGCACTTTTACATTACACAACACTTAACATCAACAGACAGCGAAACTCTGCATTCAGGGCGGGCTTACTGTGATTGACAGGTCGGGGGCCACTGCAGGAGCCGTACACACGTCACCCCTCCGCATTCCAAACACGGTAACTTCTGTTCACTAAACATGGCGACGGCCACAATCCAAGATGGCCGAACCAATGTTTGATTCCACTTCTTAAATACAATCTAAGATTTTAAACACGTGCTGAGGGAAGCCACCGCACCTCATCAGTCCTCTGGTCGCATAAAGAATGGATCAAAGGGCTTCTGGAGCCCCGAGCGGCTCCTGCCGATATCTGTGACATGCTAACTCTTTGACAGCCTGATTACTCCACGACATCCTCTAGCAGCGCTCCGCTAACGGTTCTAAAATCTCCACATCTTGCCTTCAAAGGCCTGCACGTGACATAGGAAAACGCTTTGGATCCAGGTCACCAACAAAAACACAACGTCTTGTTCCACAGTTTGTGGTTGTTGGTCACTCCAGATGACGACAGGAAAGGTTTTAATTATGTGTGAAGCCAAAATACGAGTAGAAACCTGAAAATGATTCCCTGGTTCCCTTTAAATAGAGACCTAAAAACCTGGTGAGCCAGGTTCTATTGAGACGTCCAATGGAACTCTTGAGGATGTAAAACATATCAGATTTGGCGAAATGTCCGTCTGCTTCATAGGGAGTAAATGAGTGAACATAAAAAGTGTTGGTGAGACCACTGATAATACGTTGGTGGGTTTTTCTCTTTCACGGCTGTGAAAACACGCCGGTAACCCTGCAGCAGCGCGTTAACCTCCTCCCAGGCGGAGTCTGTGAGGACTACAGAGCCGTGATTAAACCCTCCGTCACTCCTTTTATTGCTGTTACATCAATATTTTTCTGCCCTCAATGGCAGAGGAAGATGAGGGGAGCAATTTAAGCCACAGTATAAAACGGCGAGGCGGTAGCCCGAGAGAAATCCTCCCATCGCTGACTCTGACCCGGGTCCTGAGCTGCACTTGATTAAAAAACAACATTTAATAAGACGATGCCCTGGTAGTCAACAAAGACTGTGGCACTCACAGACATCCACATGCAGAGTAACGCTGTGGTTTGGTCCCCTTTTTTCCCGTCGTATCGACTGATAAAAAGTGCCTTACAGCGGCCATTCCCAAAGTCTGGCTCCACAACATTCTATTGGGGAACCGATTTCCTCCATAGTCTTCTGTATCAAGTGTATATCAGCAGAAGCCTTTTGGGCCACACGAGGGGGCCTGAATGTGAACAGTTTAGCATGTTCCGTTTGTTAGACCGAAGCCTGTTGCCTTTAATCTGTCTCATTTACAAAGCATTGAACATACCGTATATCTATCACACCTAAAGCTCTTCTGAATGGCAGGTTTATACCTTGCAAGATAATAAAAAAACGATACAAATACGCTTGTCTCGTGTTTTATAGATGAGGCCCCCTGTGAGATAAATAGTTATAGGAAACACATTGCAGCGCAGTTCAGCAGACGTCTCCTCTGCACCTTCACATTCACTGATCGTAGCATTTATCTACTGAGTGCGATCATTTAAGAAATAAATGTGACAGAGACTGTGAATTATAGATTTATGTGTGCACTTTGAAGATATTAAATATTCCAATACAATATTTTTCTCAAATGGCTTTAATAAATTGATTTAAAAATGTTTTTAATCCTAATTTTGTATTTCTCATTTCCATATAAGATTGCAGGGAGTATATGAACTGCACAAGGTTAATGCTTTTATGGTTTCCCATAAAATATATTTGTTTAGCAGTTGGTGATCAACGTGAACACAAAAATATTTTCACATCAAATTATTGATAATTATTCAAATGTGGGTTAAAGCTGGTCGGGTTCCTCCTTCATAATTACCTTAATTTATAGAAAAAAGGGACATAATAAACACAACATTTTGAAGTGTTTAGTTTTTCTCTGGAACTAATCCGACGGCCATAATTAATTCTTAATTAGTTTTCCTGATATGTTGGGGTTTACAATTTTTTAGCATGATTTGTATGTAAATTTATATTTTATTATTCCTTTGGTGAAATTTTGTTTTTTATTTTGGTAATATCTACATTTTAAAAGATCAAATGTATCCGAGCTTATATTCTTTAGCATTTGTATGACTAATTTGATTAGATTATATTTTGATCACATTATGGCCTAGCATAGCATTTGAACATAATATTTCTTGTATCTTTGCTGTTTTCCTTTTTTAAAGAAGTTAGTCTGTATTTGTTTTTTTTCTAGCACATTGCATATTTATGAATAAAGCCATTCTGACTGTTGTATTTTTCCCTTTATTTTTTACATTTACACTTGACCTCCGTCTCTTTTTAGAACTTGTTTTTAAGCCTTCAGCAGGTTCCAGGGCTTTGTATTGAACCCGGCACAGTTTTTAATCTAAATCTTCCTCATCTTCTTTGTAGGAGACAATTGTTCAGATGATGTTACAAATAAGGTAAAGGGGTTAAAGGTCAACCTGTACGGGGAGACCCGTCTCGGCTGTGCGGGAGATGCGTGTTGCCCATTGTGTTAGCGGACCCCCAGCGTGCAGCGCTGGCGCATGGCGGCGAGTGTTTGGGGGACAAAAGGCCCTTGAGAGAAGCAGACAGGCGCACAGAGACGCCCAGCGGAGCGGCGATGTGACAGCGAGACGGCCCGCTGACAGCGCGCTGCACTGGCTGTCTGGGGGAAAAGAAGAACCTCAAGGGGCGAGACCACCCGGCTGCACCCCCCCACTCCAACCATCGGCCGTCGCACTCGCATGCCGCCCAATACATGTGCCTCTTCTTCAGGGCCGTTTTCATGAGTGACAGCGAACTGTGGCTCGGACGCGGAGGGTTTTCTTTCATTCTGTTGTGTTGTTAGAAGGTGCATTAAAGCCTGTAGAGGCCCAAACTGTGAAAACACAACACCTGCAAACACACACACACACACACACACACACAGCACGGTGTCCACATGCGCACAACATCATCCTGCTCATGCACAACATTATTAGATATTCCATAATTACATTATATGTGAAAAGCCCCCATTCATTCCTGTAACTAACCCTACACAATAAGATCAATCCGTCTCCATGTTCCATTCATCGGTATGTGCTTATCCGGTTGTCATTAACGCAACCTTTTATTTGCTCAACTACCTGATTATTAGATTTCAGCAGCAATCGTAATCGTAATTTCACAAATAAAAAGGCATTTGCTTCTTTATATCCGGCATTCGAATATAGATGTTACAATGCTGTGGATACACAAATGAAACGATCGAGGCCTTTTCCTGCAGCTTTCAATGATCCATAAAGAGCAATCATTTATTTTACTAATATTTCAAAACAGGCGGTCGCGAGAGACTAAAGCATCAAAAGCTTCCGCGTGTATGAAGATACGCACTTTGCTCCACGCGGTCCGACCAGCCATCAGCACGCGCCTCAAACACGGAGCTACACAATAAATACACGCCCAGCCTGCCCGGACGCCCCCAAACACACATTCAGCCCCGGGGGGCCCGGAGGCCCCGGGGGGCCCAGCCGCGTCTTACTGCTGGTAGTCGCTCCTGCAGTAGAGCCTCGTGTCTCTGACGTAGCAGGTGGTGGTGAGCGGCCGCTGGCACGCGGCGCACTGCAGGCACTCCTCGTGCCAGGACGCGTCGTTGACCCGCAGCAGGAAGCGGTCCGAGATGACCCGCGTGCAGCCCTCGCACACGGCCCGCTGGAGAGAGTCCCCGCCTGGCGGAGAGGAAGGGGGGGACAAATGAAGCGCTGCGGCGTGGATTCATTTAATGAGTTTCGCGCTCGCTCGTTTAATTGCAACGTTTTGCCCGTGAATATAATTATATATATATAGATATATATATCTATATATATATTATATAATGTGTGTCCGCTCTGTGTCTTCCTGCTCTCCATTTTAACGCGGAGGAGATCAGAGATGATCTGCTATCATTTAACGTTGCCGTCCACAGATTAATTACATCGGCTGCACTCCTCCGATGCTATAAATCAACATTACATAAAATATAAGGTTATGCAGTTTGGAGATCCAAAACATCTGGAGGACAAAAATGTGAAAATAAATAAATAATTCTTGATCAATGGTCCCTCCAAAGAAAGTGACTCAAATAAATTAAAAACAGTGTAAATAGATCACGATGTTGTTGTATAATTATTGAAATACAGAATGCAGTCCCATTTTGCTAAATAACAAAACACGAAACGCACAAAACAAATCTATATGGAGCAGTCATTTCTGACAAGCTGCACAGAAGAATGGAACCGAGAGACGAGATCGAACTTTTGTATTATAAAAAACTATAACCGTCATTTTTATCTAAAAGAGTCCCGTACAGATTAAAACTCTAAATGAGCTGGCAGATGTAATAACCACTTGTTTATGACAGATTTATCCGATTTGTGACGTTTACAGTAGATCTCCTTTCGTCAATAAAGACTTATTGGCTAATAGTAATATAAATAATGATTATACATTTTTAAAAATATATATTTATATATATAAATAATTTATATATAAAGTATTTTAATATTATATAAAATAAATTGTTGTTCAAATATGTGTATATATACACACACACTACATATATATTTGAGTATTTATAAATACGTGTGTGTGTATAGATAGAAATAGATCATAAATCATATATGATATAGATAGAATAAATCATATATGATAGATAGAAATAGATCATAAATCATGTATACATGCATTGATAATATTATATTGGTAGCGATCATAGCTTGGAGCCGAGTGGAGGTCTGCGGCTCGGTCCCGCGGACTCACCGATCATCCCGTCCAGAGAGCCCGCGTCCGTCCGCAGACGATCTTCTATCTTAATGTCGTTCAGCATCGCTTCGCAGTGGATCGATGACCCGTTTAGAACTTCCACGGGGCGCGAGATGTCGGTGTGCGTGACGAACCCCGCACCGAGCGTCGAGCAGCGGCACGCGGCTGCAGCGATGCAGCCACTAAATACGGATCCGCCAAGTGCTGAAAGCCCGAGCGGGAAGTCGGTGCGCGGGGGGGCAGCTGCAGTACATCCACCGGCTCCAGCGGTCCTAACCGTGTTGTGCCATCCCGAGCTCTAGCCGCCCTTTCAAAGAGGGTCACGGCGGAGGTAAAAAAAAAAAAAAAAAAAAAGCCCCCCCCTCTCTCGCCTCCCTCCCCCGGCCTCCGCCGAGCGCCGTCCCCGCCGCGCTGCAGCCGTATTGGTGCCCGCGGGTCCGGATGGATCCGCCTCCACGCAGTGAGCGCGCGTGGGCCTCCCGACTGCTGCTGCTGCTGCGTGTGGATTCACACCACTTGTGTCCCCAAAACATGCCCCGTGCACGACACCGAGGACAACCGGTGTCCGCTTTTTGGACTTTTTAGTTTGGGTTTTAGTTCTGTTTGGAAATCCTGCTCTGCGTTCGCTGCAGCACATTAGAATAAAAGAGAATCCTTATTTATTTCTGTATAAACTGGCAGCGTCTCTAATATAAACCCGTGCGCGTGTCTCCTGAAGGGGATCTAACGAGCTGCTCATGTGAACTGGGACGATCATTCAACTGGATTTATAAATATGAAAAGGTCCAGAAATGTGGGGACTTTTTTGGAAGTGTCCTTAATCCCAATAGGAAGAGGGGAGGGAGGGGGGGGGGGTGTTACACTAAACAGCGTATCTGCAGTGGAGCAGAAATGACTTGATGGTCACTCATGAGCTCATATAGAAATATCCTACAGTTGGTTTACTGCTGTCTGGGATCCATCGTTGGTTTCCTTTATTTCCCTTTGAAGGCCTCCGGCCTGAGCTCCGTTTGTCAACATCAACTCGCCGATCTTAATATCCAGCGAACCTGCAGACGAGCTGCGCTCTTTATTGCGACCCAGAGGACACGTGCACGAGCCGCCTGCCGATTGTCAAAAGGCGACTTTTGGCTTTCACAATGCGGATAAATATTCACGGCTCCATTATTGAATATTGTCCGCAGATAACGTCGCGTGATTGTACAGGCAGATATGGAACCCAGGCGATATATCCGGTGGTTTCAAATAAAGCCTGCAGATTGATCAGACCCCCCCCCCCTTATCTCTCTCCCCCCGCAAGCCGGAGATCAGCTGTGTGAAAAGCAATATAAAGTCATCAGCTGTCTGCTCTTTGGCTCCTGCTGCATTTAACGGTTTGCTGCAGATCGGAATCATCATGATGTACGAGCGGCGCGAGGAGCCTTTTATTAACGGGAAATGAAATTTATTGAAAGATGCGCGCGGGTCACGTTCAATTAAGAGCGAGGGGGGGGGGGCATTTAAGTCCACATTTTACAGACCCGTCATAAAATGTGTATTTGATGTAGTTCACAGAACAATAATGGTTGTTTCAGTTAAGAACGCAGCATAGAATCAGCAATTAAACGTTATGAAGGAACTGTGAACCAGGGTACATGGTCAAATAAAACAATATTTCAAAAGAGAAATCATGTGTATGTTTCTAAAAAAAAAAAAAAAATAGTAAAATGAAAAAGGTAATTATTTGAAAGGTGAGCATTTAATGTAAAGTTTAGCAAAACCTAATTAATGTCATTGGTGAGTAATATTGGAAAACTGTTATTGAATTTCTTTCAATCGATTAGTTATTTAATATAGTAAATAAAACATTTGCATTTTTCCATTTCCATAATTATGATATTCCTTTTAATCACAGCCAAAGAAGCATCTCTTTAGAATGGGCGTGAGGTAGAATCATTGTGAGGTAGAATGGGCGTGAGGTAGAATGGGCGTGAGGTAGAATGGGCGTGAGGTAGAATCATTGTGACGTAGAATAGGCGTGAGGTAGAATGGGCGTGAGGTAGAATAGGCGTGAGGTAGAATCATTGTTAAGTAGAATAGGCGTGAGGTAGAATTGGCGCGAGGTATGAGGTAGTCCAATGTCATACAAATGCAACAACCCAATACATCTCCTTCATTGAGATGGACATGCAAGAAGGAGGAGCCCCATTATCCTCACAAAACAACAAAGACCAATAACACTCCACTTGTCCTCATGTCAGTCACTCACCATCAGTCACATGTGACAACCAACGGCGAAGGCAGTGTGACAAGTAGGCTGCTGGTTGTATCCTGGTGGTAACGCACAGTTGTAGGCGACTGTGGGTGAGTGGGGAGCACGGTCGTCCTCCAATCAGAGGGTTGTCGGTTCGATCCCAGGCCCGGCTAACCTGCATGTCGTTGTGTCCTTGGGCAAGACACTTAACCCAACATTGCTCCTGTAGCTGCGACTACAGTGTGTGAATGGTAGTTACTGATGGCAGGTGTCACTGTGTGTGGTTCTCCTGTCATCAGTGTATGAATGGGTGTGAATGGGTGAATGATGTCATGTTGTGTTAAAGCGCTTTGAGTGGTCAGAAGACTAGAAAAGCGCTATACAAGTACAGGCCATTTACCATTTACCATTAACGTCCAATGCTTCATGCGTTCAGCCTGCGTTCTCTCTAACATCCAGCAGGGGGCGACTCCTCTACTTCTATTGACGTCTATGAGAAAATGACTACTTCTTCTCTTCCAGTTAGGGTCAAGTACGCCATAAAGCAGCGTTTCTTGATAGATGGAACTTTTTTTTTCGGCTAGGCCTTTTAACCTTTTTGCAGAGTTTTTTTTTCTCTAATTGATGAATAGATCTTTTGTTGAGTCAGCATTCGTTTGTACTCTCGTATCACTGCCAGGTTCCACAAACCAACGGGTCACTTCACAGTGACTACGCCCACTTCTTATTTACGGTCTACAGTTGAAGCTTTGCTAGAAAAGAACGGATAAGCTTAACCACAGCCCACCCTTCATACGTGTTAACAGTAATACCAGAAGCCGATTTACAAGGTCAATCACCGTACCTCTGAACTGAGCCTGCGGGCGACCTCTGATTTCAAATTCTGAGTCTTCACAACTTTAGCTTGCTCTGTAGCCTCGTAGCAAGAGGGTCCGGGTGTAGCGTACAGACAGTGGTGGTGCACGCCACATGCTGCTGCGACCCTGAGCGGTGCAAGCTGTTCCCTTTAACGGACGGATTTAACCTCATCTTCATCTGCGGTGCACGGCTCATGTTTACCCCCGGGGGGGTGGGGGGCGGTTAACGAGACCAAGTTGCCACGCATGACGTCCAATCAACAGCTCATTCTGCTAATTAGCCAGCAGCTTTCTTACAGCACAGATGCAAAGAAAGGAGGAGGTTTGATGTTCTCACAATCAAACGCCTGTAAATATAACGCGGCACATGTACACAGGAGGATGTGAGTGTCGGAGCAGCAGACGCTCTTTGATGGCATGTGCCCCACACATTGACTTCCATCATTTCTATGATTTTAAGCAGCAGCTTTATTCAAAGCGAGCTGTAAAACAGTTTCTCTGGAAACCAGCAGCAGCTGACGTCCTTATAAACACGTCTTTATGACGTCTGCGTACACAAAATGCTGTGTGATGTTTCAAAGCACTTGGAAAGTTTAGTGGGAAACTAAGCAGCAGCAGCAGTTGTGGTGAAAACCAGCATAAGGCCCCTCCGGTTAAATGTGTGCAACAAGATGCCGTCAGGTGGTTCTGGAAAGTAACGTGTCTTAAAGCTGCGTTCTGGTCGCTGAGCAACACGGACTCCTCTGATCCCCCAGAAGTCTATGAGAAGACGACTACTTCTCTCTTGATTCATTCTCTCATTGTAAACATGAGTTTATGGCCTCAATCCCTTTAAAGTCTTCTTTAATACAGCACGGTGTTCATTTGGTAAATGATATAGGGTGGAATAGAGCATAAAGCAGGGGATGCTTTAGGGTGGGGGTTCTGAACCTTTTGTAATACAACGCCTTATCTTTGTATTTTAAAATGGTTCATATTTCCTCACAATAAGAAGCCGTTACTCTAGCAGGGTTGTCTTTTTTGTTTGTGTTTCTGCATCAGAGGGAACGTCAGCTGACAAAGGACACGTTTGCATTACAACATTCAAACATAACCGGCCATCATGAAGCATTTATGGGTTTCTTCAACCAATTGGGATTCTTAAGCACATCACGATATCACATAAACTAATTTAGACCCAGCAGCTGCTTTAAGAAAGAAGGTGCACTTCAAGGGTTGATTGTTTTATTGGAGTGTGTTTGTTTCTGCTGGATGTTGTAGGCAAAGACACTTAACGTTGAGGATTCCGAGAGCTCGTCTGCAGTGTTCTACTGCCTCTGCAAACCTGACCCAAGAACCCCGCCGACGGCCCGACGCGTGGTCCAGCCGGCCGGCCCGCCGGTGCCTTTATGTGGAAACAAGTCAGTGCTCTATTAATCAACCGAGCGCAGCACCATCATCAGCCCATTACACGGATTCATCTCACAGTAATTGCTGACACGTTAATTGCACGTAACGACAATCCGCCTCACTCAGTGCTGCAGGAGGAGGTGTGTACAACTCTAAAGAGCGCTGAGTGATCAGTGTGTGCGTGTGTGTGTGTGTGTGTGTGTGTGTGTGTGGGTCAAAGAGAGACAGAGCGAGAGTTTCTTCTCGGCGTTTCCATCAGCTGGTTCGGAGCAAATCACCCGTTATCCTCCAGGAAACAGCGCGTGGAGGCAGAAGCAAAGCAAGTGGCCTTGTAAGCGTCTAACATACGCGCCGGAGAAACACGAGAGGGGCCCCCCAGGGACCCGTTTCATTGGACACGTTTATTTGTTCGTTGGTGTCAGCTAGTGTTGGCCATATTTCATGTAGTGTGGAGATGAAGACATTATAAACATATCACTGAGGACATGCTGACAGCAGGAACAGCTTATTTGGCAAAAACACTTTGACTCTTTTTTCACCAAAAGGGGTAAAAAAACAGAAAGCCCCGAGTGGCCTTTTTTTGCGGGTCCCCATGTTGCTTTTTGGCAACCAATGAACAGAAGTTACCATGTCTGGGACGTGGTGGAGTGACCGCATAGACCTCTGGTGGAGACCCGTCAATCCCGATAGCGCCGTGGTGAAGCAAACCCTGCTTCGCCCCGCAGACAGGAGTTTGCCACCTAACTGACATCAGAGTAGATCTCAGCTCGACTGTATTCGTGCCGCCGTAACCGTCTCACTTTGGACACACTTTCTCATTCGGCTCCAGATGTTGCATCGGTTGCTCGTGAAGCTGGAAAGCCACATGTTTGCTGGAGAGCTAATTAACTCGTGTTTGTGAGAAAAATAAAGACACACGGAGATGAAAAGGCCGACGCAAAGCAATGGAGGACAACCGCACCGAGGGGCTCGCGTCGGCCTTCGTTGTAAGGCGCTCGCTGTGAACTGGGCTTGGAAGCTTTAATGGAACGCAGAAGAGAATGACAACTCACTGCAGGCCCCAACGACTGCAACTTTCATTACACCAGAGACAATTCTGTAATTATTATACCTGTTTCAACCAGTGTTCATCCCCTTGGGAGGTTGAATCAGCTCAGGGAAGTTATCCGCAAATCTGCCTGTTACATCATAAAGTATCAATCAATCAATCAAACGTTATCTCAGACTCGGGGTTCATGTGAGACCGGAGAACACGTAGCGGATGCTGTGTGAAAATGAGAATCGGGATGGCACTAGAGAAAGTCTATGATGGAGTGTCTGCGACGGGTCTTTATGCCGCTCAGCATTCAGATGATTGGCTGGTGGTTGTCCTGCTCGCTGTGCCAACGTGGGTGCAATAGATCGCTTGCGGGCAACACCCTAAAGCTGCATTCTCTCTACTGTCCACCAGGTGGGCTCCTTTTACCAGGCGTCTGTGAGAAAATGGCTCTTTATTTGATCAACATGGGAAACAGTATGGTTTTTACTTAGTAAACTATGGTCCATTTAGAGTTAAATAGACAATAAAGCCGTGTTCTGTCCCTTTTGTAATATTAGGCCATATACTTATATTCTGCTTACCATCACCCATCACTATCGCTATGAATCTGAATGACATCTATTAAGGTTCATATTTCCTAGTTCTTACAATAGCAGGTTTGGAAGATGCCTCCACCGCCACCGCCAACATCATCAATGGGTTGAACTGTTCCTCGTCTTCCCTCTCTGGGGGGAGAGATGTGTGGGCCCGTGGGTGTAGCCTTGATAGAGAATGATGGAGAGGCCCCTGTGATTCTGGCCACAGCGTTTGTTGCCATTGATCCTGAATCGGTCCAACTATCCATCGCTTGTGATAGGCAAAGCTATGCTGACGTCCCAACTTCAAACATGGGTTGAACGTTCCACAAGCCGATTCTTTGGTTCAGGTGTTCAGGGCCCACTACGTCACGCCAACAACTTTCCAAGGGATGTCCTTGCAGGTGAGATTGAGACTTTCAGGAGCATATAGCACACCTTTGGAATTGTGTTGCTTGCCCGTTAACTCACATGTCACCAAAACTGTGACTCTAGACTGGACCTGCACATTGAGTGGACACTAATCGAATGAGTGCAGGTATGTGTGGGCCACCTGACACTGATAAAACCCTTTAACAGATGAAGAAGCAAGTCTCACTGAGGCAGGATGCCCACAGTGATGGATGCTCTTTCTCCTCCAGGCCAGAACTCCGTCAGTGTTTGAGCTGCAGACCTCAGCCTCCGGGTGCGTCTCCATGAACGGGTCCTAATTCAGCCGAGCTGAAGCCAGCAGGAGCTGCTGCACTATGGGGATGTATAATATAGTCACAATGAGCACTGTTGTGTTTTTGAAAGTAGTAAAGAGACGAGGAATCAGTGTGGTTTCACTGGTGAGCCGCAAAGACCTTCTGACAGCAGTCAGGTGGAAGTTTATTGTTGTAAATAATGAGGTACCTCTTGTCATATACGAAGAGCACCTACATATAGGCAGCTTTAGCATTGTGAGATCCTTGAGAAAAGGGCCATGTAGGTTTGGAAAGATCCCTTTTATTAAATCATTTAAAACCGCATTGTGTATTCAATTGGGTTATCTTGTCTAAAAATCAGTTTGACAATATGAAATTTGTACGTATGACACACGTGCAAAGAGAAAAGAAACCAGGAAGGGGGCAGATACTTTGTCACAGAACTGTATATAATCAATTCAATGTAGTGATCGGGCTTGCGGTTGAGTGACACCAGGACTCCAGTTAATAATAGTTTAATAAAACCTCATCAATACAAATTCAACTGATGCTGTTTCTTTCTTTAGTGGATGAAATCAGAGACAATCTGTAACTTTTGATCACTAATCTACAAAAATAATGGTCCTATTGAAACCTCTGACACTGTACATGCAAACGGACATTTTAAAGCACTGTTAATTGTTAATGCAGACACAATGTTGCTTAGCTGTTAAATGGTTCAGCTGAGAAATGATATGTGCAGCAGGCGGATACACTTTCATGGGGACGTGAACCCATGCAAACGACAACACTGCACGTCAGCGTCCTGTGAGCCTTTAGGAGAACGTGCTCACAATACTGAGACAATAAATTACACAAAAATAGAAAATAAAAAAAGGAGTTCATCCATGCATTTATGACTCGGTAACATTGCAGAGACACTTTAAACAAATGGAGTGAAATAAAGTAAAACAAGATCACAGAAATTCTTAAAACTATTGAACACAATACTGCATTGACATAAAGGAGCACTGGAACACACACACACATCTATTTGCAGTGAATGTAACCTGGCCCATAAAGGGTCTAGCAGGGAATGAAGGGGACGATGACCTCTGACCTACTGGTGGTCTGTTCGCTTCACCCGTCTGCAGGAGGAGGCGAGTTCCACTGGCTGCAGATCAAAGACTTGTTGTTGCTGTGATTATCGTGCCACTACGCCTCCTGGGCGAGACCTCTTACTTTGTGACGGAGGACCGTGGCCTAAATATAATAAAACTGCTGAATCAAGTTATCGGACCTCTAAAAACAAACAAACCAGCTAAAAGCAACAAAACAAGTTGAATTAAAGACGTAGCTTAGTTGAAGACGTAGCTTAGTTGGAGGAAGAATATGCACGGCAGGCAGAGGCTTCCAATGTGTAACCACTTTCCTCAAAAACAAAAAAAAAAAAGAGCACTTTAACTGGACTTTGCAATTAGTAACAGTTTCACTGTAAAGGCGCTCAGTGCAGAATACAGAGCATTGCCTTCACGCGGCTTGCAGCATGCAGGACAGTGCAAACCACGGCAGCAGTGCTGACAGTGTTTCCCCTGGAGGGGGGGGGGGGGTAGAGACAGTAGGGCTGGGTATCCACGAGTCAGTGGCACAGAGGAAGGAGCGCCGGTGACAGGAGGGAAGGAACTTAACGAAATACAAGCAAATATATATTTATTTTCTCCCAACGTTTTGAGCGTAGCAGACACCCGACATGGGGAGCCGACTGTAAATGGTGTGGCGTTAAAGAAGCGAGGACAGAGTTCATAGAACCCTGATTACATAAGAGTCTCTCATTGGACGTCAACAGCCGTGAGTGACTGAGCCGGACTGTGCTTTGCCAAACATTTAAATACTCGAAGGGGAGCGTTCAAGATCAAACGAGCGGTTCCTCCTTCCATGACCTTTTTCATATGCATAAAAAACATATTCATTCATTCAAAATAAATCGGTTTTTAACAGTATGGTGTTGGTACCAAAACTGGAATAATACCCAGCCCTGAAAAGAAGGCAGCGAAGCCACAAGTAAGGGTTGTACAGGACGTGAGGGAGGCCCAGCAGCGTAACAGTAACAGTGGTTCTATACGTGCAGGGACTGGAGGTGCTTAACAGAACATCTGTGAAGCACAAACACACACATATTAACGGTAACATCGCTCCCAGTGCATGCTGGGACAACATGACATTTCCTTTTGTATTCCCAACACGCGAGTGTGGACTACTGGCCCTCATGGTGCTCGTGATGATCCACTTCACAGCGTGAAGAGTCTGTTTATCTTGTTTGGAACACGTCCTTCAGGATAACACGGTTATTTGTAACGTAGGAAACAACACGATGTTCTGAGAAAAGTCAAGTGATTATGAAACCACACGAGTGAGATTCCTCTCATTGTTCTTGAGAAAGAAAGTTCCTTTTTTTCTCCTGCGCATCAGTTGTTGCGTAGTGGTTTCAGCCGGAGCCCCCCGGTGTTCTTTCTCCATCACCTCCTTCAGCATCCAACAGAACACACAGACAGTAACATCTTCCAAAGGTTGGGGAAAGTATTATGTGAGGTTGTGGGTTTTCTCCCCGGGGACCGTATGTTGGGGGCAGCGCCTCAGTAGTGGTGTACAGGTGGATCCTCAGGCCTCAGAGCTCAGGGACGTCCTGGTGGGACTGGGGGGCAGGCGGGCTGCTGCACTGTGCTCTGTGCGGAAACTGTAATCATACTGACAGAGGAGACGCAGCCGTCAGGGTCACGGAATGCAGATTGAGTCTCACAGCGTACGGAGGAGCAACGCTGGCCTCTGGTGGTCACAGCGTGAACTACAGGGACACGCTGTGACCACCAGGGAGGGAGAGGGTTCACAGCTACACACTGACTACACACACGCTGCACACTGACTACACACACGCTGCACACACGCTGCACACTGACCACACACACTGACCGCACACACACACACTGACTGCACACTGACTACACGCACGCTGACTACACACACGCTGACTGCACACACGCTGACTGCACACACGCTGACTGCACACTGACACACACTGACTACACACTGACTGCACACACTGACCACACACACTGTAGTCAGTGTGTGTAGTCAGTGTGTGTCAGTGTGCGTGTCAGTGTGTGTGTGCGTGGTCAGTGTGCGTGTAGTCAGTGTGTGTCAGTGTGTGTGTGCGTGGTCAGTGTGCGTGTAGTCTGTGTGTCAGTGTGTGTGTGTCAGTGTGTGTGTGTCAGTGTGCGTGTGGTCAGTGTGCGTGTAGTCAGTTTGTGTCAGTGTCACACACACTGACCACAAACTGACACACACACACACACACACACACACACACACACACACTGACACACACAATAAAGGGATAGGAAAAGGACAGTTCATGTTTGTTACACTGGATCTTGCTACAAGTTACCATCACTGTTCCAGGTGTTTGAGGATAAACTGCTTGTTTAGTCCAACTTGATGACGTCGGTCTACTCACCTCCTTCTCAATCTCAGCCAAAGACTTGATTGTGATGCCCATCAGATCCACCTGCTGCAGCTGAAGAACAATGACGGTTATTTGTTTGTTGGCCAGCCAAGTAAACAAATTCTGCTTCAACTAGTGATTCCTTTACAATCATTAATGCCACGTTTCCACCGAGCGGTACGGGTCGGGTCTGTTAACCATGATTTGGCGAGCGTTTCCACCGCCAACAGTACCCTTACTTGATAGGCGTGGTGTATTCCAGAAAGTAGTGATAACGTCACTTGATAGGCGTGGTATATGACGGAAAGTAGTGATGACGTCACTTGATAGGCGTGGTATATGACGGAAAGTAGTGATGACGTCACTTGATAGGCGTGGTATATGACGGAAAGTAGTGATGACGTCACTTGATAGGCGTGGTATATGACAGGAAAGTAGCGAAAACTGAAAGCTAACCGCAAACAACAATGGAGGACGTACAGCCGATCCTGTTCCTGCTTCTCGATATGTGGCTGTTTGTCACAAGGAGACGACAATCTTTGTTTGAGCAAACTCCGGCTGTGGTTGTCTTTCCCCTTGCGGCACGCGCAAATGACGACACTCTTTCAACCAATCAACGCTCTGCAGTGAGTCTAGCTCCGCCCTTTAGTACCAAACAACTGTGCCAGGTACCCCAACGGAAGGGTACCCAAAAAGTGGTACGGTTCGGATTTTTGGTACCATTCTCAACTTTTGGCAGTGGAGACACAAATAAAAGGGTACCGACCCGTGCCGTGCAGTGCCGTACCGCTCGGTAACATATATCCCGCTTACAGAACAGCCACCAGCCACACAGCAGCAGGTTGAGCACCTTTTCCACTGGTTACACCAAACAGGGCTGTTAAAGCACACGACTGGACTCTCATCGGAGGATCAAATCAGGCTCCACTTACATCGGATGAGGCACAGGCGAACTTGTCAGAGATCATGAAAGGCACCCCGTCCATGGCTGAAAGAAGCACAGAGAGAGGCATTTACCGACCATGTGGCCCACGGGGGTCCGTGTGGGGCAGCAGTGCTCGTGAGTCGTGATCAGCTGTCGTACAAACAATGTTTGAAATGTCTCACAAATCCAAACAACCGCTCTCTTTCAGTAAGATATTACCTCGTCTTTAGCATCACTGTAAGTCATAACCCGAACTAGCGTTCGCCTTTAATGCACTGTGTTGTGCTGATTAATTGAATTAAATTTTTAAAAAGTCTTTCTTTGTTGTTATTTGATAACTGCAAAAGCAATAACTAAGAGTTGGTACTGTAGGTTTAGCATTGTGACAGCGTGGAAGCCAAGCGAGGAGCAGAGAACCTGTCGGACTAACCCGACCCCGGACCTGGCTTGGATCTGATAGCTTTGCTAATAATGTGGTAGGGATTCGAGCAGAAAAGCACGCCGAGCAGTACAAATTATAATGTGTGGGAGAATGTTGTAACTGTACCTGCTCCTCTCAGATATTAAATCATTTGGGATTATTTCAGTATTGGAAAACACTGACGGCAAAATAAGACCCCACAACTTCCTTGATTCCCTTGATCATCACGACGAATCCAATGTTCAATGCAGGAAGAGGAAGGTTGAAGCTTTATTCTAAGTACATTTCTCCACCGCCATGAGTTGATTGGCAGCTTTCAAAAAGACATTAGTGATTTGGTGGAGGGCGCTGAGAAGAAGGCGACCTGCTGACCTGAGATGGCGTACAGGTTGGAGTTCTGGTGCTCGTAGTCCGGTCTGGTGCTGTTCTTCCCTCTGAAGCTGGCTGGGAGGGTCATGGAAATGTGTCTTTGGACCACAAGAAAAGAGGCGTCAGTGCCTTGCTGCTGCACGTCCACACCGTGCTGCTTTAAAAGGTCTCGGTCAGAGTCAGAGAAAGAGATATGAGCGGGTCAGGCGAGTGCGCTCGGGTACAAGATTTGTCTCCTCGTATAAAAAGACAGAAGAAAGAAGTATAACTCATCCTAAAAGTTGTAGAAACTCAAGTAAAGTAGGCAACAGGCAGCACAGCTCGTACAAGAGTAAGTTACGTTTAACAGCATATTGATTAGTGGTTATTGGTAAACTGACGCCATGTTCAAGTGGACGGTTTTTGGGGGGGGTGAGCACGGGGAACACGCGATTTTATTCTTTTTGTTGTTCGATGAAAGAATAGAGTCGTTCATTCACAGACATACTTGGGCATGGGGGCCGCTGGGACCGGGGCACAGCTGGAGTTCACAGCGTGGGTGTTGTTGGTGGCGGGGGGGTGCGTGGAGTCCTGGGCCCGATGAACGTTCCCCATGCGGTACCAGATCCCCATGTTGTTGAGCTCGCTGTGGAACAAAGCAAGGAGAGGAAATCTCGGGTTGGCGTAGATTAAACGTCTGCTGGTCTTCCTCCACATTGTGTGGGGACACGTTGCGGCCAAGGTGGGCCCAACGGCCAATGGGGCCCCTGTAAAGAGACGCTCCCTCACTCACCCTATGAAGGTGTACTGAGGGGGGGCCTGCTTGGTGCGTCCCAGGATGCGGATGTCACATATCGCTGCCTCGGTGGAGTCCCGGGGAATGAACTTGATGCAGAGTCGCCTCTTTCGGAAGGCCTGCTCCTCTGGGGGGGGCCGAGACAGACGGAGCGCAATCAACATACAGCCGGTCTGATTGGTTCCCTGGCAGCCTTGTTTTTACTATGCAATTCTGTCTGCCGTCTAGCATCGCGTTTGCTGCTCCGCCCTGCCAGCGTAAACAAAAAGTTACATTTGTTTCTGGAACAAGAGAAACAAGAGAAGCTGAACGGTCGCCTGCTGCGTCAGCATCGTCCCCATGTCGACCCCAAGCGTCACTTTGTATCATATTATGAACAGAAATGGATCAAAGTGAGCTCAAGACGACAAGTTGAGCCTGAAATACGTAGTTTTAAGTCCAGTAACATTACAAACGTTGACAATAAATGCACAAAGAAACTCTCTTTCTATATGCAAGAAAAAAAATAAAAAGTCTTTGCAAGTAAGTTAATAAATGTGTTGGCTGGTGTGGTCGTCAAATAATTGATTGATTTTTTCTTCTGCCTGAAGATTACTACTATTACTTTTAGCTAAAAGTTCAGGGCTTAACTGATTTTCAGAGAATCTTCTTCTCAGCATAAAATATATCATACTCTAGAGGTGAAGCACGTCTTCCTAAATTAAATGGAATAAGAAGAAGATCACAATCTATCTGCATTTTATTTTCTGGGGTTGTCTCGCTAGCAGGTTGCTAGGCAACGCGAGCGCAGCAAGGCCGAGGATGCACGCGGGAAGGTTCAGCCTAAGCAATCACCAAATGAGACTTGTAAATAATAATATAGCAGTCGTTATCATCAGGGCAAGATTTAGAGATTGAATTTGATTCAAACGGACTGGATGCTTTTCAGTGACTTGATAACTCACGCGTGTCGACGGTCTCCTGGATCGGGATGAAACCCACGGGAAGAGTGTCCTTGATGTCGATCAGCTTCATGTCTACAAGAACATTTCCTAAATGGCTCTTTGGAAGAACAAAATGAGGAGGAGGAGAGAGGAGAGGCGTGTGAATCTGACACGGGCGTGTTCCAACACGTGATGTAAGGTAACAGGCGTCGGCCGATCACTCACATTCTCTTTGGAAAAGGCCCTCGTGAAGCAGAGGTAGCGGGTCACCTTGGACTTGAAAAGGCCATCTTTCCATAGATCAGCATCCAGGCCGTCTGTTGTTGTAGCGACCTGAGGCAGAGGAGTCGGGGGAGGAGGGGTCATTCTATTGGGGGGTGCACCTTATTTAGAAAAGGCCTGTACATTTGTCAGATGTGAAGCATACATGTGTATGTTTTTTGTGTTTCTCCGCAACCAATTGAGTGACGTAATAATCGCGAGACACAACGAATCGATGATGAAATTCGTTGCCAACGCTTTTAATAATCAAATTTTATTGATTTCATCGATTCGTTGTTGCAGCCCTAATGGATATTCCCATTTCTATCGCTGTAAACATGAATGCGCATAACTAACTTTGTTTCTTCCACGGAGTATTTGGGCTTTCTCGCCACACAGGTTTCCATGGATCATGGTTAAATCTGGATCATCCTTATTACTATCTTAAATATTAGTCATAAAACTGAGAGATTACCGACTTGCACACACAGATACGCTGAGATACCACTTTGTGTGTTTGTGTGTATTTACGCTCCCCTACATTTTTTTTTTTTTCAAGTAAAAGGAAAGAAATCATTACTAAGTAAAGTGACTCGTGCTGCTTTTTGTGGCATCTTTTAAATATCTAGGCAGTGCAGCTTTTTTTGGCTTATGTAATTCCAAATGAATTCATTCATTAGCGTGCTGTTATTCAGCTGCAGATGTGTGAAATAACTCACCACATCATATCCAGTGGGTGCCCTGTTCCTGGAGGCTACGACCCCGACTCCGGTGATGGGGTCCATGGGCATCTCTGGCAACGCCTCGGAAAGGTCCCGCACCTCAGGCATCTCTGCAGCGTTCTAAAAACAAAAACACATCAGGAAAGGTTAACGCCTTGGAACGTTTCCCAAGGGCTATGAGACGGGGGATTCACTGGGATCAACGTCACTTTGCCAGATATTAAAGTTGGATAAAAGCTGCTCTTGCCTCTTCTGGACATTTCATTTACTCTAGAGGCGCAGCTGATGTTGTGTTTACGATGGGCCAAGTTATGCAACTATGCTTAAAGTGTTTTTATTTACTTTTATTCTGGACCGCCAGGCCACAACCTGGTACCGGTTGCTAACTGGGCCACATAGATTTGATCCATCGTCCTTCCAAACAAGTGGAGGTTGGTCTGTGGTTTTCCTCCGGTTACGCTTGTTTCTTCGCAGACAACATTAAGTTAGAACCTTTTCTGCCGCTTCAGAGAATAACAAAGACATAATGAAAACAGCCCATCGAGCATTAAGTGCTCAGAACTGCTGCATAAAAACAGCTTCACGGTGCTGCTGACACCAAAAGGCCTGAGGGCGACGGTGGGGTCAATAGACGGTTATCCACGTCGCAGCATTGCGCCCAAGCAGTGATTCTTTTAGGATCTAAAATGGTTCCAATCCAATGATTGTCTTGTACTATTGTAGGGCTGAGCGCGCTGCACGGCGCCTCCTTGACTTCTTTCTCTGAGATTTACACGGAGCCAGAAGAGCCTCTTGAAGCTGCATGGACAACAGAGACCTCCTGCATAGCATCTCCCTGACTACCACAAGCATCTGGCAAAGAACGGAGAAGTCGGACTGACTCAATAGCCGTCTCAGGTTGAAGAGCAAACATCTGAAAATCCCTCCGTCAAAGACCTTTCTGTTATAAATGGACCTTCCGGCCCACAGTCGAGTCTCTCGGGTAGCTCTTGGACAAACTACAGAAGGTGAGGAGATCGGTGTCACAGGTCAATCCTGAGCGAAGAGGGGTGACGACCCAGTAAAAGGGAAATGGGTGTAGAGCCACTGGGTGACAGGAAACGCAGCGTGACACGGTTAGTCTGCAGATTGCTGCTTTAAGGACCTAAATCTACCACATGGAACGGTAGATTCCAGTGAACCAGTTTATTAAACGTTGCATCATGTTCACAGCTGCAAAGAAATCACTTTTTTTAGCGTATCAATCAATCAGCGCAATAAAACGTCCAAAAACATTCTCATACGGTTTCCCCGGTCCAGAAAACGTATTTTTATCTTCACCGGAAATATGAATTGCATCTCCAACATTAGCACTGAAATGACACAATGAGAATTTGAAAATAGAGCAACCAACAATGTGCCCCCTTGGAGCCATTCCCAACTGGCCCCCATCTGAATACAATTATAAACAGGAGGTCTGTTTGGGTCTGCACATCAAAATAATCAGATTCAGAGGGTTTGCTTCTAGCAAACTAAGACACAGACAAATTATAGTTACGGAAATATACCGTATAATACTCAAACATGACGCAACTCCTGCAGTAAATGGATTGCATTTGTCTAACACACGAGCCGCCCGGAGAGGCTCAGATCATCAGTGGCAGCGATCGCACAACCTTTCTTCTCAATTTCAAAGACAAATGTTATATTATTTCCTCCGTGGCCTAATGAAGAAACGGTTACCTGACACTGAGCATCCATCCATAAACGGTCCATCACTACGGTTACCTGGTAACCAACTATTAACCAGAAGAAAACTCCATCACTTTCTTTCCATTCATGTCAATGATAACAGCGGGTAAATGTTGGAATTAAAAAAGAAAAGAGTAAATGTGTGGCCAAGTTTACCGCTAACATTATTCTGGTTTGTCTCAATGTCTGTCTATTATTAATACTATTATTATTAATTAATAATTTAATAATATTGCGGAAATATTATTTAATAATATATAAAAAATAACTTTATTGCTTGTGGGCATTTAAAGTCCTTTGTTGGGAGAATATCTGATGTGAAAAGATAGAAAAGAGAACAACAAACTATTTAAAATCGATGTGACGTGTCGTCCTCACGCTGGCGGACGGAAACAACCGTGTAGACAAACAACCCGACCGATGAACCCGAGCCGCGTCCCACCAACACGCCGCTAAACCCCCGCGCGTCTCCCGGTGGGGGCGCGCGCCGCTCGGCGACTCGGCTAACTAGCTAGTCGGCTAGCGTTAGCACGCTAACGGTGGTAACCGAACACCAGCTGCGACCACCGCGCAGCAAAGGCTGTCAGGCAGTAACGCGGGGTCCCCCCGGTGCCCCCCGGTCCCCCCGGTGCCCCCGGTGTGCAAACGGTCACCACGCGCACCCAACGGAGCCGTTGTAGTGGCGTTATTCCCCGGCTAAGAGAACAGAAGTGTACGTGCTTGGTGTCGGGCGGTGCTAACGGTGGCTAACAAGCGGAGAAACGTCACGCCACTTACCGGTTAACGGTTCGGTTCGATCGATTTGCTCCCGTGTTTTTTCCTTTCTCGCCGCGTCGTGGAGACTCGCTTGTTTTTAAAATACGTGTATCATCAAGGAACCACTGCGGAAAGTAAGCTGCCGTGTGTGCATTCGCATGGTGGCTCTCCGGCTAGCGGCGTCGGGAGGGGGGCTTCGACGGAGCTGCTGGGGGGGGGAACCGGGCAGTGATCAGCGAACCGGCCGCGGAGCCTCGCCCCTGCTCCCGCCCCGCGCCCGCGTACCGAGACGTGAACGCGTAAACGCGCAGCGCTCGGTGTCTTCTGCGTGTTTCGGACGTTACAGTCCAGAGGTTGACAGGGGACGACATGGACGCATGTTTCATTCGATTAAAGGCTCAGAAACCGAGGAAAACACCACCCGCATATATATATATATATATATATATATATATATATATATATATATATATATATATATATATATATATATATATATATATATATAAAATAAAGTAAAAAGAAATGCAATGGGTTAGTAGAATAAGGCTATGGGTTAGTATAAAACAAGGAATAAAGTTAAAAATGTTAAATATTAAAAAGAAAAATATTAAGCATAAAGTGCACTAACGAACAAGTAACAGACAAGTAACAAAGTGACGAGTGACGACAAAGTGATGAATTGCAGTTAAAGTGGCACTATCACTAGTGGCAGTATCACTATGGACATGTTATTCTTATTAACCAAAGTAGATAAGCCACTCAGGAGAACTCCAGCTCCAGGATGTTAAAAAGTCATAATGAGAAAAGAAAGGAACGAAGCTGTGATTGTTCCTATTTGCAAACCAAGACCCGCGTCTGGCAGAAAGTTATCGGCCTGTAGCTCCGACATCACATGTGGGCAAAATAATTCATGAAACAAGGAAATACAATTTAGAATCAAAAGAAGTACAAAATAATGATCAACGTGGATTTAGAAAGGGCAGAAGCACCATTGACTCAGCACTGTGTGTAGAAAATGAAATCAGAAAAGCTCAAATAAATAAAGAGTCTAGTTGCAGTATTTCTTGATGTAGAAAAGGCCACATGCTGTGGAATGAAGGTTTGTTAATAGAAGTATACAATACAGGAGTTAAAGGGGACTATATGTTTGGATTAAAAAGTTTCTTCCTAGTAGAAATATAATAGTCAGGGTAGGAAAAGAGTTCTGTCGAAGCTTTACAGGAGAACATGGAGTTCCACAGGGAAGCATAAGAAGCCCAATGTTTTTTGGTTAATTAGTTAGGATTGGCATTATTCACAGATAATGACATGATATGGAAAATGTGAAGGAATGTAGAATAAATTGTTAAGAAGATGCAGGAGGAAATTGAAGTTGAAAAATGCAAAACAGTATTTAACTCTATTAGGTGTTTGAGGGGAAGAAACTGGAGCAGACAGGAAGTCTCATCGGGGCCGTTATAGACTCTGGTAGAATCAGTCAGCAGCAAAAAACATGGCTAAAGAAAATAGTTCAAGACTCAGGACTCCATCAGCACTGCAGAGAGAAATGAACAAAATGCCACTGGACATCAGGAGGACACAGTTGTCAATAAAGAACTGGGCGAAATTGAAAGGTCATAAAACATCTACCCCGACAAAAGCCCTAGCCCTGTTAAAAACATGCCAGAAGGAGGAAAAACAGCCAGAGAAAAGCTCATTGAGGATCATACTCAGGCCCACAAGACCCATCCCACAGGGCACTGTAAGAAGGCAGACGTTGACCTTCACTTTCTGCAGCCAAAATGGGTAAATGTAGTTACTGAATAGAAAAATAACTATTCGGACCACACAAGAACAATCAATGGAAGAGTAGGAGTAGCATTTGTTATGCCCAAATACAATATAATATTTAACAAAAGAATAAATGAGAATTAACAGTAACACTGCTGTGCTCAGCTGGGCGGAAGACACCAGGCCGGGGAAAGTTTTAATAGGATGAGATTCAAGTGAAGCATTAGTAAATATCAGGGATGTTCAATCAGATACAAGACTAGACGGTATTATAGAAACCCATCAAACTCTTCTCCCAATCGAGAAAAATAAGACAGCGGCCTACTTTATGGTGCTCATAAAGCGTTGAAGGGAACAAACTGGAAGACAAATATGCAAAGATGGCAACAAGGAAAGAAGAGAGCAACATGAATGAATTATGGTATTGCTGAAGTTAAGTGCAAAGTAAAAAATGAAATGAAACGCAAGAGGCAGAAGAGATGGGACAGAGAAATGACTTAATATAATCCAAAAGAAAGTTGGAGAAATGAGAGAAACTAGCTGAAGGAAGAAAGGGGAAGATGTCATGAGTAGAATGAGGTTTGGATCCACAGGTCTTAGAAGCACACAAAGAATACTGGGGAAACACCCAATGGGCTCCTGTCAGTACTGCAGTGAGGGGAAACAATAGAACACGTCATCGTCCATTGTCCACAATACAATCATCATAGGAAAAGGCTCAGGCCGAGAGAGAGAAAGGTTTGAGTTCACACAAATGATGCAACTTAATTAACAATAAACAATTAAATAGTTTATGGGGAAATATTTAAATACCTACGACACTGATACATAAAATATACAGTAGCGCTGTCATTTCAGTCCACACTCCTTCTCAGAAGGTGGCGGTGATGCGCACTGGAACGCTCTTTGCCAACCACCAATAAAAAACAAAAGAGAAGAAGAAGACGAAGAAGAAGAAGAAGAAGAAGAAGAAGGGAAACCCCCAAAAGAAGAAGAAGACTCGCTAGCTTGGCTGAGCTCAGCAGGCTGAGTTGTTAGCAAGTGTGTAAAGATGTTCCTGTAGTGCACAGTCTCCAATGGAAGGCGTTATTGTCACTATTGGGCGTATGCGTGCATAATACGGACATGTGGACAGTTATTTTCCTGATCGGATGTCACTTCTAAAGGTGGGACAACGTCATGAACTGACGTTAACAAACTTAACGTCAACAGTTCGCTAACCGCAATCAGCTAGCAAAAGAAAGCTCCTATTGTGCTAACCTTAACAAGCTCACGAGCTGCCTCGATACAACAACATAATGCACACTTGCATTCGGGGCGACATATTTTATACACAAACACCGAGTACAGGTGCGACTTTTAGAAGGTCCACGCGGGCTAAACTGACTTACTGTTCGCTAATGTGTAGGAGTTTTAAGGTAGCCAGTTAGCAAGGTCAGCTAACGCCAACTAGCTAACCAGAGGCTCTTCGCCTTGTAATCGGCTCGGTCACTGGGAATGAGCGTGACACATTACGCACTTCTTCCTTTAGAGAAGCGGACCACGAAACTGTTAGTGTGCACGGTAATAGTTTTGTCTAAAAAATACAAATGAAGCATGACAGATATGACATCCTCCTTGCACTTTGCAGCTTAACGTTAGCCACAGTTAGCATCGGCCGGGAGACTTGTGTGTGGTAATAACTGGTTCTAATAAGTTGAATAAAGCGCTGCACATATATGGAACCTTACACATGATTGCAAACACTTGGGCTGGTCATCTGGAGTAGCTTGTTGTGTCAGATACACTCGTTGGGCTGCAGCATCCTGCGTCTAACATGCGAACCTCAGCCGGGCTGAGGCTCCACCGCGGACGGGCTGATTCACAGCTCTCACCTCGGTGGCGATTAGCAGCAGCTTTGTGTTTACAGTGTCAATACGAAGACCATTTGTTTACTGGTCAACAGTGATGGCCAACACACAGGTCTTTGACAAAATGTCAGTGTTTTGTCAACATCATCTTTGTGACTGAGTGTCTCCACATGAACATGTTGGAAATGTATCTTCCCGTTGGAAACAATTCTTACTCGACACCGGTGAAAAATCCTTTAACAGGACATTTCTGAAATAAAACTTGACGGTAGGAACACATGCACGTCATGCTGCTTTGGAGGTCTGTGTCTCAGCCTCCGGATTATATAGTGGAGATGACGCACGCACACGTTATGCACACAGGTTGAAAGTCTGCATGTTGGTCTATGAGGTTCTCTGAGGTCTGCTGAGTCTAGTTTGTGGCGACCGCGGAGTACAGCGGATAACCGGTTACTGGATACCACAGGGTTGAACCCCGGCGTCTCCATGCACTGTCTAAGTGTCCCTGAGACCCCTGAAGGCTCCCCGGGGGGCACTGTGGGATGGGAATCATTTCCCCACAGGGATTAATTAAGGATACTTCTTCTAGTTGAGGTTACACACACCAGTTACTCATCAAGGCTTCTCCGCTGGGAGGTCACATCCTCGATGGCCTTCCGCACTGATATTGCTTGAACTACCGTGACTTCATTGGCTTGATTTTGATTGGTTTTCTACTAAGGATCAATTCAAGGATGAACTTTTTGCAGACTTGCTTCACTTTACAATTCATTTATAGGCGTAATCCAGTTTTAGTACGTGATTAACGGCGCACATCTAAGAGTCTCAAATCCATAACTTACTGAGCTTTACACCAGCAGGCTGTTAAATGTTAATATATTCATTCTCCTGCACCATGTAATAACGTATTATGCCCAAAACAGGTACTGGCCTCTTTCCTTCCTTGAAGCAGAGAAAATAATTAAGAGATGGAAAAGATGACTACGCTCCACTTTTCGTCGCCCGCTACTTTAAAACTCTCAGAGAGCGGCTGAAAGGAAAGAGAAAGCGGTCCCCTGGAATACAATCAAGAGGGCGAGGCCAAGGGAAAACATCGGAAGCTGTCGGCATCTCTACGAAGCAGAGGAATGGCTTTCTTGGACAACCCGGCCATCATTCTGGCTCACATCCGACAGTCTCATGTGACAAGTGATGACACAGGAATGTGTGAGATGGTGCTCATAGACCAGGATGTAGACCTGGAGAAGTGCCAGCCGGCTCTGGTGCCTGGCAGCAGCTGTGGGTCAACAGGGTCGGACTCCCTGATGGAGGGGGACGGCAGCGTGACCGACAATCATGCCTGCGACCTCTCCCAGTCCCTGGACATCACCTCCAGCTGGGACTTCGGCGTGCGCCGGCGCTCCAACACAGGTAGGCGCATCTCCGGGCTGTGGCGGGTCAGCAGGGCAGGCTTTCTGCCGGGCCCCACCTCAGCGTTATAACAGAGGCAGCCAGAAAGCCTGTTGTGCCGCTGTTGTGCTTTAGGGGGTTTGTGTGTGTAATCTGGGCCGGTGGTTTTCTGAGGCTCATGATAAATTGTGTGGGGTTAGATTGCAGGTTCCTGTGTGAATGATTTTCATTTCTATGGTGTAAGCAGCACACATCTAATCCACGATGATTCAATTCTGAGCATACTTTGTAAATCAAGCAGACAATGTCAGACGGTTCATTTAGTTTTTATTGTTCGCTCGGGTCTGCTCGCTATAATCAATATCTCTTTGGAAACCTTTGTACACAGGAACTACAGTTCCACTTTCGTAGGTCTTTGAAGCCTGCAGCCGTCTTGGATGACCGTTTCCTTCTGCGTTTCTGTCGGTTGCACTGAACAGAAATGTCCCTCATCACGGTCTCAATCTATTTGTTAATGCATGGGGATCCAGCAGAGTGTTCTATATTGGTACTATTGGGTCTGATTAGGGATGCACCGATCCACATTTTTTCACTTCCGATACCTAAATTTGGATATCGGCCGATACAGATAATATTCCGATACCAGAGCTGTGTTTGCAAAACAGGAAATCCTGTTAACAGAAAAAATTCTGAAAGCAAGTTTGAAACTAAGGGTTTCAGATTGATTGTCACTATTTATTTAATTTCATAAATGTCAAATACTTGAGTCTTAAAAATTTAGAAATATGAAAAGTGCAAGTGTGAACATCTTACACACACATACACATACACACTTGACACACAGTCTGACTCACTTGTTCACAAAAATAACAGCACAAATCAAGTAAACTGACTCTTGTATCATGAACAACATGTCAAATATCTGAAGAAAAGTGCAATAAAATAACTGTAAACATCTTACACACATGCACACTTGACACAGTCTCACTCATTCACACACGCAATCACACACACACACACACACACACACAATAAGTTTTAAAACTGTGTGCATCAGAACAGCACTTAAGATGACCTGGAATAAACTAAACACCAGAGTCTAACTATTCTTTAAAAGAAAACAAAAATGGAATGTCTCAAAGTTGACTGAGGAAGTGATGTTAGTGTTCAACAAATCTTACATCGGCAGGTTCTTGTTGAGGAATATGAGCATTTCTGCTCTCTGCAGTTAGACGATTCCTTTTTTCATCCACGATATTGGATGCCGTGCTAAACAGTCTAGCCTCAGTGCTATCCTGCTAGCCTGCTGGTCTGCTAGCTGGCTGCAAACTGTGGAATGGATTCCTGAACGGAGGCGCGGCTCAATGAGACAGTTATGAGACACGCTCAGGAAATCCATTTGCAGCCAGCCAGCTAGCAGGCTAGCAGACTAGCAGGCGGGGATCACTTTTGGAGTCATTTCAGCAGACGACGTTAAAGCGCAGACATGGCTCATTGATATCGGAAATCTCCAAAGGTTGTATCGGAAAATCCCATGCCCGAATTTCTCTGGTATCGGGTCCCGATACCGATACTGGATCGGATCGGCCCCATCCCTAGGTCTGATTGCTGCTTTTCAGCTAATCGATCACTAGAAGTTCAGTCAGTTTAGGCTTATAGCAGCTAATCTCAGGGCTGGTCCAGGACTGTAGACCTGAGCCAGCCCTGACTATAAACGTCAGACAAGAGGAACGTCTTAAGCCTCGTTTCATGCACCTGTAGCCTCAAAAGGCAGTCCTTAAAGTTGGTCTCATCACTGAGCCCTGCTACTCAGTTTGCATCCTTGTGTTAGCCTCTTTAGTCCTCTTCAAGTGGTGCTGTGTTTTTGTGATAGACATTTCCATAGTGAGTTTGAATCAAACGGTGTCAATCTGTTTTAAGCTACATCGAGGTGTAATTGTGGTTTTGGGGATGGAGGGAGTCCAAAGGTTGACGCCTTGTCCCTTTTTGGCTCCCTTGAGTTTGGTGCAGTGCTGGTCTTGGTTCTGGGTTTTGGGTTGAGACTTGAGTACTGACCTGTGGCAGCTGTCTCATCAGGACTCCATCAAGACAGCCGAGAGAAACCCGGGGCTGCTGGTAAGAGGAGAGGGATGGACGAGAAAGCGGTTTAACAAAGTGTACAAGGTTTATCGATGCAAGCTTTACTATTAGTGTGTATGACTGTCCTGTAACATGGCAGAGTGCATCCGTAAAGTTATAATGTCCTTCTTTCCTCGCACTGCTGTCACCGGCCCAAGGAAAGATGAACCTTGTTTGAGCTAAAGGACAACGTACCGGTGTCTTAGTGGTGTACGTGATGCTGATTCATGGCAGCCGTTTGTCCTGTGGCTGAAGCTGTGCTTTTCTCCTTCCAGCTCAAAGACTGGAAAGGTTACGGAAAGAACGGCAGAACCAAATCAAATGTAAAAACGTTCAGTGGAAAGAGAGGTCAAACTCTCAATCAGGTAAGCTTCTGTATTGTTGATAAATGTACTAAACTCAGCTGTGGTCCTTCATCTGGACGTGCTGCTGCAGTAAGAACAGACCAACGTACCTGAAAGTAACTGCGTGATGCTGCGCGGCGTTTGTTGTCCAGCGGAGGATCTGGGCTCCCTGTTTGAAAAGCGGGACTTTAAGGACCGGCCAAAGACTGCGGGCACCAAATCCACGCTTTCACTGCGGCTGGAGCAGTGCCCCCAGCAGCTCAACAACCCCTTCAACGAATACTCCAAGTTTGACGGAAAGGTCAGTTATTCCACATGTAGCTCCTCTTCATTTGTTTCATTCAGATGTATTCAAATGAAACTCATTTCAGAATAGCGTATCCTGCCGTAGCAAAAAAAACAACTGATTTTATTTGGTTTAATTAATGCTAGACAGGAAAACTTAATTTCTGATGTTAACGTCTAAACCCAAATCCATTGACCCTTTTTTCCAATGGATAGAAACAGCGCAAAATGTTAGAATCCAATGAATCAAAGTGATTAAAAGATGACATACTCCATGTAAGGCCTGTGATTTAACAGCGCTCCTGCTGTAACACGAGCCCTTCACGCTATCCAGACGACCTGCCCTGTGGAAACGTCCCGCCTGTGGACGCTGGAATTGACCGTGTCCCTTTACTCTGTTGTCTCCGCATCGTGTCCTCTTCACCTCTTTCAGGGCCACATTGGCACAACGGCTACAAAAAAGATAGAGGTCTACCTGTCGATGCAGCTGGCTCAGGAGAAGGTGCACCCGATGACGGTGGTGACCATCGCCAACGCACGCGTCCACGACCTCATCGGCCTCATCTGCTGGCAGTACACGAGCGAGTGCCGAGAGCCCAAACTCAAGTGAGCAGAAGACCGACTGCACTCATTCTGTGGTAGAACGTTTCGTAACGCGCGTGTCTCCACAGTGACAACGTGAACGCCTACTGTCTCCACATTGCGGAGGACGACGGGGAGGTGGACACGGACTTCCCCCCGCTGGACTCCAATGAGCCCATCCACAAGTTTGGTTTCAGCACCTTGGCGCTGGTGGAGAAATACTCCTCACCCGGCCTCGCTTCTAGACAGTCTCTGTTTGTCCGAATGTGAGTAGGAGATGCATGTTCATGCATGGAAGCAACCGGGGGGGGTCTAATCACAATTTCTTTCCCCAAAACCTTTTTCACTTTGGCATTACGGGGTGTTGTGTGTAGAATTTTGATGGAAGAAAAATGGATTTAAATCAATTTTGGAATAAGACTGTAACATAAGGACACGTGGGAAAGGTGAGGCGCTGTGTGTGAATGTGGTTGCTATGCTGATTGTTTCCAGGGATCCAGTAAGAAACAGCAGGCGGTGGGTGGTCCTGGTTTAATATGTACGAGGAGTGCAGGGATCAGTGGTGTTGAACCAAATCCTATTTTGCCAGCTCTGATTATTCCCCAAAGTTTACAATCAAAAATAATAATGTTTCTATGACCTCTGGAGTGGTGTGTCAGTAAGATTTCTACTCATATTCAAAACCTTTTGTAGAATCAATTCCGCTTAAATAGATAGAAATAGTCTCTTTTGAAGCATTAGAACTGAGCAGATGCCGGCCGGTGGAGTGTTGTCTGATACATTACCTTGATGAGAAGGTTCAACCCACACATGCATTCTTTACCTTTCTTCCTCCTTTAGAAATGCTGCTCATGGTTTCTCTTTAATCCCCGTGGACAGCCTGAAGGTTACCATGAAGGAAATTCTGCAGAAAGCTCTGAAGAAGAGGAAAGGCTCCCAGAAAGGCTCAGGTAATGACGCCATGCTTCCTCTCATCCAGCACATTGATCCTGTTCACTGTTTTAGCTCAGTCAGCTGTACTGAACCAAGTGAATATTGTGCTCATCATCCCCCATCCCTGCCTGCCATTATGAAGCCAGTGACATTTTCTCACTTGGAGATTGTACTGGAACACGGTTTCTTCCCCCTAATGATGTTAATGATATACACATAAGTCAGCGTATTTCTGTTCATCGCTTTTCTCCGTTCCCCGGATGAAATCATGATCTAGCATGTAGAATTCTAAAAGAAAAAAGTAATGCACACAACTATTGTAGGCGGTCTCATCTCCAAACTCCAAATGCACTTCAAAAAGAATTATTCTTGAACATACGTCTTATAACCGGTCATTTCGACTCTTTTAAGGTAAATGACAGATGATGATGGAGGTTTTACAGATCACTGGTTTGTTGGTGGTTCTGAAACCAGAGCCAGCGCCCTCATGCTGAAGCTGTCGTCTGACCCCCCCCCCCCCCTCGACAGGGCCCATGTATCGCCTGGAGAAGCAGTCGGAGCCAAACGTCTCAGTGGACCTGGACTCGACACTGGAGAGCCAGAGCACCCTGGAGTTCTGCCTGGTCCGAGAAAACAGTAAGTGACCCTTCCCCTGGGAAGCTCCTCCCTCTTCCCCTCGCCTCCCATCTGAGGGCGGCGGTCAGTCCTTCAGCAATACGCCACTACGGAAGCGTTGGGGGCTCTAACAAATAGCTGGAGCTTCATGCGTAACGTCAACATGCAATTCCCCATTGGGTTGGTCAGTTTAAAGGTGCGACTCCCGCACGGCTGCAGATGTGATGACTGATCCGTGTTTCCTCTGTATTCATTCTGCTGGCGTTCCACCGCGTCGGTAACATCCTCCGCTCTGTTGTTTCTCTCCGAGCAGCGAGGCAGCAGCTGAATAGTACAACACTGAGTCTGCTTATGGGCCCTGAGGATCAAACCTCACAGTTCGGATAACTTGTGAACCGCAGATCAACAACTATTTCTTTTAAAATAGTATATTCATAATATTGTGTAATACGGTTTTACTGCTCATGTTCCTTTTATAGTAAGAAGTCCCTGAATTAACGTTAAAAACTATTTAGCATATTTTCAGTATTGATATTTCCTTAAAATAGCATGCGATCAGAGCACGCCCACTGCCGCTTCCTGTCATGCTGCCTTTTACAGGCGTTTAGCCTGTTCGCTCCTTTGCTTGCCGCATGAAAAGGGAAGTAGGGGTGTAGTAGTCGCGCTCGGTGTTCGCTGGTGGGCGGAACTTCCGTGCACGTTTAGAGGACAATTGTTTACGTGAAGAAGCAATTTCATGGAAAGGGATATTCACGGATGATCATTGAAGTCTAAGAACCCGTTTCACAGTTTTGCTCAGTGTTGAGAATAAGGGCAATTGTAGCATTATGTGATGGTTTTGTAAACCTCGCTGCGATCGTCCTCCTGTCTGCAGGCTCCAGGGGCGAGGAGAGCTCCGAGGAAGACCCCCCCATCGATATCACCACGGTGCAGGACATGCTGAGCAGCCACCACTACAAGTCCTTCAAGATCAGCATGATCCACAAGCTGCGCTTCACCACGGATGTCCAGCTAGGTACACGCTGTGAGCCACAGCTTGTCTGCCAGCGTGGCGTCATGCTGTGTGTGTTAGCGTAGCGCGGTGGAGCTAGTGCTAGTTGTGCTGCGCTCAGTTACTTTGTCCACACTGTACACGGGAGACAGCGACTGCAAAGAGTCGATAGTACCGTGTTTATGCTGCTTTATGTGCCACTACTCCCTTCAATACTTTCATCATCATCATCATTTAGGGAAATCATGTAGGATGTGGGGATATTTGTTTTTAAAAACCCAAGTTAGAATATACCTGTCTCTTTTGTTAATGTTCTTTCTAAATCTATCTCCTTCCTGACGTCTGAAAGGCGTCTTTGGCGCTTTTGATTATTTCATCTGTTATATATATATACACCAAAGTACTGGACACATTGAAATGTTTGACCGTATGAAGGAGGAAAGGTCAAAGGGGCTCACGAGTGCATCAAAGTGGAACCTGACTGCGTCCATCCAGCACAGCGGTTTGTGTATACTAAGAAGTGTGGACATCATGCGTGTGATAAAAGTCTCCATATCTTCAGGCGTTTCAGGAGAGAAGCTGGAGATCGATCCCGTCACCAATCAGAAGGCCAGCACCAAGTTCTGGATTCGACAGAAGCCCATCTCCATCGACTCGGACCACCTGTGTGCCTGCGACCTCGTAGAGGAGCGAAGCCCCAGTGAGTGGACCGCGCAGGCACAGCACATCGGGATGCTTCCCTAAGAACACACGGTGGAGACCTTTCCTCTGGCCGTTAAACTGCCTTTAACCTTAAATTATACGGGACAGACGGGAGTCCAGTCTGATCGGTAAAGTGTCTCCTAAAGGTGACTGATCATCAAATGATTACTTGTATTTATTGCCCATTGATACCTCCTATATGGATATTATCTATTCCTAAGTACTCTTGGTCCTCCTTCCATTTCCATGTTGTAGCCCTCTACAGACAAGGAGATTCTCTAATGAACACCATGTGACATGATAGAAAAACACCATGTGACATGATAGAAAAACACCTGTGACATGATAGAAAAACACCATGTGACATGATAGAAAAACACCATGTGACATGATAGAAAAACACCTGTGACATGATAGAAAAACACCTGTGACATGATAGAAAAACACCTGTGACATGATAGAAAAACACCTGTGACATGATAGAAAAACACCATGTGACATGATAGAAAAACACCTGTGACATGATAGAAAAACACCTGTGACATGATAGAAAAACACCTGTGACATGATAGAAAAACACCTGTGACATGATAGAAAAACACCATGTGACATGATAGAAAAACACCTGTGACATGATAGAAAAACACCTGTGACATGATAGAAAAACACCTGTGACATGATAGAAAAACACCTGTGACATGATAGAAAAACACCAGGTGTTAAGGGGAAGGTTCTGAGTGTGAAGTAGCTTCAGTAGAAGAAGAGAGCAATGACGGCATGTATAAAGTCACTGAATATGTATTTTCCTGTAAGGGTGTTCTCATTATTCCGCCTTCCTCTCACGTGGTGACAGATGATTCACACATATAGGATTGCTCTTCTTTTGCCCTGCTACTGCTCTTCCTCCGCCCAGAGACGAGGGGAGTCCTCATTGGGGAGACTCTCAAAGACATGGCTGGAGATGTCCATTGTCCGTCTCATTAAACACTTGTCTTCACATGTCTTTCCCCCGTGTCTCACAGGCCATGCAATATTTAAGCTCACTTATCTCAGCAACCACGACTACAAGCCGCTCTACTTCGAGTCTGATGCTGCTACTGTCAATGAAATCGTGCTGAAGGTGAGTTCTTCTTCACAGTGTGCCTTCGTCTCACTTTTTATAGTGCCAATGTACTGTTTAAATGTACTAGTGGTTGATCTCCATTTTGTTGAGGACTGTGGCTGCTAAGCTGTTTGCAATCAACAGTCCCAAACACCCAATGAATGTTTGTTTTCAGGTGAACTACATCCTGGAGTCCCGAGCCAGCACCTCTCGGGCCGACTACTTTGCCCAGAAGCAGCGGAAGCTGAGCCGGCGGACCAGCTTCAGCTTCCAGAAGGAGAAGAAGACTGGCCAGTAGACGGACTGAAGCTGCTCAGAGCACAGAGTCAGGCTGGTTGACGGGGCCCGGCGGCCCCCCACCCGAACGGCAGCGGGCTGAACCCAAGCAGAGACTGACAGGAGAGTGGAGTCTGCTGGAGCACGGCGCCGCTGAAAGCCCCTTAAAGCTCCGTGGTGCATCGAGAGGCCGCGACCAAAACACTTGTCTGCGCGTACGTGGGGCTGCGGCTCTCGTTCATTCACTGCCTCTGAATACGATCTCGTCCTCCAGGACGGATGTGTACAATTCAACGAAGAAAGCCCCGCGCTAAATCTTTGCTTCTGTTTTCTGTCTTCAATAGCCTGGAAAGACAACTCTGTGCTTTTTCATGTACTGTACATAGAAAAATTCACATTCAAGAGAATGAAATAATGATTTATCAGAAATACAATAGTCTGGATTATTGCAAGCAGGTCGATACCCTTCTGCCTTGAATCCTCCAAAGGGCTAGCATTGCATTGCCTCTTAACGGCTCTCAACATGGCGACGGTTGAGCAGCTAACGGTGCTAACGGTGCAGACCACGGTACAGGTGTCGATCCAACAGGTACGGAGCGACTTCCCACGCTGTACATTCACATACGTCATCATTGTTTGCTGCTTCAATAATGCTTTGAATATCCAACTTATCATTGTTGACATTGTCTGCGCCCAGTTCATCTTTTCCAACGCCTCCCAGTACAATTACTGGGAGGCGTTTTTCCCTCGACCATAGGTCTGGGATGGACAAATGAATAGAAACACTTTTCCCTCTATTACAATACATTCTTTATTAAATCAATGTGTGCTTCAGCAGCTGAGGGAGGCGGTGAGTGCATACGTAACGCCTGAAAGGTGCCGCGTGGCGTTTAAAAAGTCAAATGTACGCAGTCAGCAGCGCCCACAGCGACCAAATACTGCTCCCGTGTTTCCCCTCCCAGCCAGTTAGGTGTCCGGCGTCTTGAGTTCATCCAGGACTGAACTGCTCACACTCAGGGATCGCGTGAAGGATGCTTGTGTTGTTGGTGTTCCCGTGCCGATGCGTCTGCGGGACGAATGGGGACAGGGCGCACATCCGCACATGGAGCTGCGGGGGGCCGGTGGTCGGCCTCACATGTGCGCTACGTCTACTCAAACCGCTTGTTTTCACACTGACAGGCTCAGATTGTTTATTAAAAGTGACTGACGGCGTCATGGAACGAGGCCTACAGAGAAATAAAACCCTTGTCTCTACCTTCCACTGGATCCAGTGTGTGTTTCTGTCCGGCTCCTGTGAGATCTCAATGTTCATACTTTGGCTCAAGTGAACACATTCAAAGAGCTCGTCCGCATTGTAAAAGGCTTTAAATATTTAGCAGTGAGCTGCGCTTTGTGTGCTGCAGCACAACAAACCGCCCAGCAGTACTCGAGCATCAATGTCAGACACTTCTAATAACGTCTCTGGAGGGACGGCGCTCGTGTGTCACACGCTGTCCTCATCCCTTCTGTCCACCTCTGCTGCCAGGCGATGTCTTTGTAGGGAGACGCATTGTTGATGGGGGGCAAAAGCCACAGTTCTGTGTCTGCTGCTAAGCTAATGGAAGGTGAAGGGATGGGGCCTTTAATACGAAACACTGGTGCTGCACCCTGTTCGGTGACCTTTCATTTCACGCATACAGCATTTAGTACTTCATGAACGTTTAGCGTCTGGATGCATTTGGACTGGATTCGGTACCGTGAACGTTATTCCCAGCTTGGTTGGAACCAGTGCTGTAGTGGTAAAATTAGAGGTGGGTAAACTCTGAATTTTGTGATCATACAGACCTCGACACGATGCGAAGCAACGCAACACAAAGCGTTGCGACTCTGTAAGGCTGTCCTGGCTATATTGCATTATGTTATCAGTAAAAGTCATATACAATCAATGACAATGAATACATGTGTATGAACAACATAAGTTAAAGGAACACTCATGTACTACCTATGTCATCATAAATAGCCCATACAGCATGTTTTTTTCACGTTGAGAACTGACTTGTTTTCTAATCTACGCGTCACCAGGCGTTTTTATTGTCCTTTTACCGTGCACGACCAGCGAGCACAGAGCGCGGGACTACTACCCCCCAGTCGGTCGTTCCGCCCGCAACGACTACTGCCCCCCCCCCGTCGGACCTTCTCGACCGGTCCGCGAAATATTGTCTGGCATGAAACCGGTCCGTGAGGTAAGAAAGGTCGGGGACCACTGGGCTGATCCACAGCGTGTGTTTACACACCTCCTGGATCCTGATTGGTCGCTGCTTCAGCCGCAAGGCGCCGATTGGATGCTCACAGACCGTAATACAGCGCAGATGAACATGATTCAGACTACGGCGTTTATATGTTCAACAATAGCAAACGTAGTCTTAGCTGTTTTAAAATTACACCAAGTTTATTTCGGATTATTCCAACGGAAGAATACAAGGCGCAGGGAAGTTTGAGGTGCGTAAACGCCACTTATAGGTGCGTAAACGCTATTTCCAAAATTATAGAGGTGCGTAAACGGCGTTTACGTGCGTTTACCCTCCACTACAGCCCTGGTTATATTATATAGTTTATCACTATATATCATTTTTACTTGTATGGTGACTAACAATTTAACTTCATGCCTCCTCAACGGTAAAACATATTAATTAATACATGAATTTAGTATTTAGTAATAGAACATAACAAATAAAAAAGGACAACTAGATGTGTTAATGATTGTCTTGAACATCAACCCCGAGAACAAACCTTCTGATTCGTTGGCTGATTTTAGTCACTAAAGATGGTTGAGATCAAGTTACCATTAACATTGGAGTGAGTAAATTATCCTATTATAATATTTAGAATTTGTCATTTTGGGAGCAGTTAACACACATTTGTCTGATCCGTTTTTTACCATATTTATTTATTCATCTATCTAAACTGTAGGAATGTTGAAGGGCTGCAGCTCGCATGCTGCAGCGTGGCGGTTCATTGAGTTTCTGATTGACAGCGTGGGAGAGAAGATGTCGTCTGTCGCCCAGCAGCAGAGAGAACGAACAGACATTCGTAACTCTGGAGTTGCACTTGACTGCGTCATTAGAGACGCTCACACGTCCCGATGAACTTGGGGTTTGAATTTGCTTTATTTGTAGAGAATTTAACTTGTTTGTGCTTTGAGTTGCCTGACATCATTTTTTAGAAGCATTAATCAAAATGTTCCATATCGGAAACATGTTCATTGACTAAATATTCTCTTCTTCTTCCGCCTGATGTCTGATTACAGGAGGAAGTGAGTCAACAATTGAAATCAGGCTTAAAATGTCGACTGAAACCTTTGTGTGTCATTTAATACACAAACGCTCATTAACTCAAGATCATTGTTGTTTCACTTCATTCAAGTAAACAAGTAATAAAGAACATGTGATTCTCTTTGGTCTGAAGAAAACAAGACGGATTCATTTGGTTTTATTTTTATTAAAAGTATTTTCATTGTTAAAATAATAAACAGACGACATATTTAACAATAATAATAACACAATCATTGGGAAAATATCTGAAGCAGTTCCTGAAAAGAGAGAAAAGAAAAGTTATTAACATGTTAATGTTGTTAGTGTGTCTGTGTGTACATCTAAATGTTAGTGTGTCTGTGTGTACATCTAAATGTTAGTGTGTCTGTGTACGTCTAAATGTTAGTGTGTCTGTGTGTACATCTAAATGTTAGTGTGTCTGTGTGTACATCTAAATGTTAGTGTGTCTGTGTGTACATCTAAATGTTAGTGTGTCTGTGTACGTCTAAATGTTAGTGTGTCTGTGTGTACATCTAAATATTAATGTCTTTGTGTACATCTAAATATTAGTGTGTGTCTTTGTTTAGTACCAAATGTTAGTGTGTGTCTTTGTGTACATCTAAGTGTTAGTGTGTGTCTTTGTTTAGAACCAAATGTTAGTGTGTCTGTGTGAACATCTAATTGTTAGTGTGTCCCGATGACGTAGCGTGCTGATGGCGTCTTGTTGGTCTGCAGACAAGGAGAAGAGACGTGAGGAGGATCATCAGGATGTGTCCGTGTGTACATCTAATTGTTAGTGGGTCTGTGTGTACATTAAAATATTAAAGTGTCTTTGTGCAGAACCAGATGTTTGTGTGTTTTAGTTTACTTCTGAATACTAATGTGTCTTTGTGTACATCTAAATATTAGTGTGTGTCTTTGTTTAGAACCAAATGATAGTGTGTCTGTGTGTACATCTAATTGTTAGGCGTCCTGATGGCGTCCCGATGACGTGGCGTCCTGATGGCGTCCTGATGGCGTCCCGATGACGTGGCGTCCTGATGGCGTCCCGATGACGTGGCATCCTGATGGCGTCCTGATGACGTAGCGTCCCGATGACGTGGCGTCCTGATGGCGTCCCGATGACGTGGCGTCCTGATGGCGTCCCGATGACGTGGCATCCTGATGGCGTCCTGATGACGTAGCGTCCCGATGACGTGGCGTCCTGATGGTGTCCTGATGACGTAGCGTCCCGATGACGTGGCGTCCTGATGGCGTCCCGATGACGTCCTGTTGGTCTGCAGACAAGGAGAAGAGACGTGAGGAGGATCATCAGGATGTGTCTGTGTGTACATCTAATTGTTATTGTGTCTGTGTGTACATCTAAATATTAGTGTGTGTCTTTGTTTAGAACCAAATGATAGTGTGTCTGTGTGTACATCTAAATATTAATGTGTCTTTGTGTGGATCTAATTGTTAGTGTGTCTGTGCGTACATCTAATTGTTATTGTCTTTGTGTACATCTAAATATTAGTGTGTTTTTGTTTAGAACCAAATGTTAGTGTGTCTGTGTGTACATCTAATTGTTAGTGTGTCTGTGTGTAGATCTGATTGTTATTGTGTCTTTGTGTACATCTAAATATTAGTGTGTGTCTTTGTTTAGAACCAAATGATAGTGTGTCTGTGTGTACATCTAATTGTTAGTGTGTCTGTGTGTATATCTAATTGTTATTGTGTCTTTGTGTACATCTAAATATTAGTGTGTGTCTTTGTTTAGAACCAAATGATAGTGTGTCTGTGTGTACATCTAATTGTTAGTGTGTCTGTGTGTATATCTAATTGTTATTGTGTCTTTGTGTACATCTAAATATTAGTGTGTGTCTTTGTTTAGAACCAAATTAAAGTGTGTCTGTGTGTACATCTAATTGTTAGTGTGTCCCGATGACGTAGCGTCCCGATGACGTCCTGTTGGTCAGCAGACAAGGAGAAGAGACGTGAGGAGGATCATCAGGATGTGTCTGTGTGTACATCTAAATGTTAGTGTGTCTGTGTACGTCTAAATGTTAGTGTGTCTGTGTGTACATCTAAATATTAGTGTTTGTCTTTGTTTAGTACCAAATGTTAGTGTGTGTCTTTGTGTACATCTAAATGTTAGTGTGTGTCTTTGTTTAGAACCAAATGTTAGTGTGTCTGTGTGAACATCTAA